ATTTAATATTAATTTAACAATAAACACCTCGACAGATTTTAACACTCATTATAACCTAATTCACTTGAGATTTGTTTTAGTTATTGTGTTTATTTTCCTTATTACTATTTCCAACTGACCTAAGAAAAAATTTTTAATTCAATCTACATTCTGTATAATATGTCACATTTTACATAGAAAAAAATTTTTTTCAAGTTTATTTAATTGTTTAAATAACTATTTGGCATCTAATACATGTAAATTTTCTTAAAAAAGCCACCGTAAGTTGTATCGTTAGGTGGCGGTGGGGTCACGCACCCAGCGAATTAGAAATTAAATTTAAAAAAAATTTGCAGTTATTTAACAAAATACATTATCATTTTTACTATTGATTACTTTTTATCATGTGATATCACAGTAATATTGGGTGATTACATTTTTTATTGGATGTTTAATGTCTCAACTCCAAAATCGTCATTCAAAAGCAGTTATTAAATTTTCACATAGCTTGTATGGTTACTGTCGATAATAAACTGTGATTAATAAATAATTAACGCTATTCTGTTTGATCAAAATCAATATCAGCAATTTTATACTTTCTGTAACCCACTGACAATTTAAATTCTACCAGTATGTAGTCACCCATATGACAGTTCATGAGACTTATTACTACAACGTTTATTGTATTGACTACATTGATAAAACGTGAAAATCCAATAGTTATAATTACTATCTACAATACTACTGTAGTTCTAGTAATAACATTATTTGTCATGATTATATGTTTCGTTTAGCAGTAAATTATTTGGTCATCTTCAGACAAATTTTTTTTAAATATATATTTGTTAACTACAACTTTTATTGTTAAAAAAAAATTAACCATTAGAAAATAATTTAGACTGTTCATGGCCAGGCCATAAGCCTATTTTCTTTTCTTTAAGCTATTGAACATTCTTTAAATAGTTTTCTTTGTAGAATTTACTGTAGCTCATTTAAAACTAAACCTTTCAGTCTAAATTTAAAAGTTATATCATAAATTTAGGGATTTGGTACCTTTAAGTTTCTTTTTTTATTATCTTTTTATTGCATACTACGACGAATATTTTTCCTAATCTTTGGTAAAAATTTTTTTGTCAAACATGTGCATAACATCTGCTTTGAACTTATTATCTCTACCTTCAAGTTACTTCTTACGGCTACAATTTTCGACTACCAAGAATATTGCACAAATAACGTAACCACACCTATCGACCCTTTCCTGATTTTCTCAAACCGTAACCTCTGACTATTACCTCAAACAAAAATCATGTCACATACCTACTCACAAGACATCTATATCGTCTATCTATCGACAATTGATCACCTATTAATCAATCAACAATTAGTTTCAAACATTAAAAAAATTGTGTATTTTTACAATATTAGTTAGTATTTGTCAATAAATATATGACGTTATGAATAAAAATAACTCCTGTGTCTTCAAATTCAACAATTCAATTGAAATATTCTCACTTCAGTAAATATTGGTTAGGATCTAAACATTATAAGTATTGTATCATCTAGTCATATTAACAATTTAGTAATAGAAATTTTGCTACAATCTTAAGCTTCTTTACTTGTAATCAATTTTGATAATAGTTTTGTACTTCTAAGAGATTACTAGATTTTTACTTAATAAATTCTAGAACATTTTCGAATTTTTAGTCAAATTTTATTTCTCTATGTTTTTATAAAAAAAATTTATCGAAATAAGTTAATCCAGAGTGAATCACACACGTTCACTCTTTTACTTTGAAAAATTACTAATAAAATTAAAAGAAAAATAAACTTAATATAAATAAGTGTATTTAATATAAGTAGTGTATTTTATATAAATAAATTAATTAATGAACGACTTGTTATTGATTCAAAGAACGAACGATGTAAACATCTAAACACATACTCGTATTGAACGACTTATGATGCGAAGCACCAGAGAGTGCTTTACGATCGAAAAATTTGTTTTGCCTCGATTTCGCAACTATTTGAATTTTTCCGTCGAAAAATAATTGAAACAATCTTCTGAGAAACTAAAAATGAAACCCGATCAAAACTCGATTGTCAGAAATTTGGCCGAAACTAATAAAATTTTTTCCTGTTTCACAATTCATTTAAACAAGATTTAGCACGCATGTTACTTCGTATAAAAAATTAGATTTCCATTTATACATTAAACAATTAAAAAATATTTTAGTTGACAACAATTTTATTGGGTGAAATACGATAACTTTGTTCAAAAATATTATTTTAGTGCTTCTCCCTTCTTTCGAAGTTTTATAGATATCTATGAAATCCATGTATTTCTTTTCCAAACGCAAAATTATTTGCCGTATAATAATTCAAGGTGCGCTTGCGCAAAAAACATTTAATAACGCTACCTTCAAATAAAACGTAGTATGTAATTGTAATTGAATACGACTCATTTAAAAATGTTCGAGTTGTTAGTTTTATGAAAATATTTTTCTCGTTCGTATAAGTTATAATTTTTCCCAGTAAATTAATTTTTTGATCTTGTAACAAAACAAATTTAGTCAAAATATACTAGTTTATTTTTTTTCTAACATAATAAATTAAAAATTATAGTAAGATAATAAATTATATCAAAGCAACAGTTTATAAAAAAAAAATTTTTAACACTAATGACCTAACAATTTTAATTCTTACATAATTTAACTGCTCTTAAAAAAAAAAATTACATGTTAAAATATTTCAATAAAAAAAATTTCTCCATAATAACTATATTGAAATTCTATTAAAATTAATCAACCGTCACATAACATCCGAGTCAAGGCTTTATTGAACTTATTCATGGTTCACCACGTTCATAAATTTATCAAATAAAAGTATCGAAAAGTATATTTATTAATTTAAAACTATCCATAAATTTCAATATTACAAGGGAAAAAAGATTTAGAAAAAATTACAATGATAACATCATAATCTAAGACCAGACTTTCAATACGGTCACCTTGATAATTTAACATTTTTAAGTTTACGATGTCACATCGTAAAAATTCAAAGATATTTACGACTTTGATAGGCATTTTTTCAACGTGATAATTGTAATTTTTCCAACAATATTTTTCCTGTGTTTGTGCGATAATCAAAAGTATTAGATAACGATGTTGTTTGAAAAATATTAAACATGATAAAAAAAAATACTAAATATTACATAACATTGAAACTATTGATACTGCAGTAGAAATAATGGAATGCTCAAAATATTTAAATTATATTGTTGATCGATAATCAACTAACGAAAATTGAATAAATAAATAAAACAATCGCAAAAAAATTGACCGTGATGGGCACGTGGAGCTAAGTTGACGCGCAACGTACGATCGAAAAGTCTTAATGACAAGTTTTAACCTGTAGCTTTAGTTTGTCCTCAATGAGATGAATATCTTGGACAACATCACCAGGACGTTCAAGGCCGACATTAAATGCATGAAAATAACCACCAGGTCCATGAGGATCTAGCGGGCCCATAACTCCATGTGGTGGTGCCGGTAATAATAAATCAGGACCGACTTTTTGAATTTTTTGATAGACATTGTAAACACTATTGTATGCTACTGATCCTTTAGCACTACGAAAATCCGGCAAAAAGAAAAATGTTCCGAAACATACTATTCCAAATGTCAAAAATACAAGTAGAATAAGATACTTTTCACGTAAACGAATCGAACGTCGCGAAAACAATGGTACTGGTACACCGTTTATAAAACGTTGATACGACGGTAAAATATAGATTTTGTTAGTCATTTTCTATTCTATTTATTGATAAATATTAATACGTTTATTAATTATTATTATAGACGAGATAACTAAATATACACAATTTACTATTACGTTTTGTTGCTGTTCGCGAACTGTCACACGCCATTACGGTGGGAGAAGCGACTGTAACGCCATCTTGTAGATAAGTTTTAAGTGCTGTCAATTTGGCGCTGCAATTTGTATTTGCCCGGTAACAAAGGTTACACTAGCGGTAAGCTTGAAACTTTCCTTATCAATATCTTTTATGGTAACGGAAAATACGCTAATGTTTTATAGCAAAATTAAATTTTCAAAAAAAAAATTTTTGAAAAATTAATTAAAAATTAACTAATAGTAATAGACCTGGAGCAATTACGGATTCTAATAGAGCATTTAAAGAGCAATTAATTGACATATGATTTAATTAAAAAAAAAATTATTCTACGCTAACTTCCTTCCGGTACGCTAATGCGTCAAAAAAATTATTATTCATATTAAAAATAAATAATATACTTTTTATGTCTTCGTATTGAATAAATAATAATAATAAAAAAGTAAAAACACCTTTCTTTTAGTTCACTTTCGAATTTTTTTTTCTGAAATGTCATAAATTTACATCTATTTTCTTTTCAACAGAAAAGTACATATTATCGATTTAAAAATATATAATTAAGAACCAATTTAACAATCCGGGATAAAATTTTAAATGGAATAAAATTATTGTTGCCAGTATATCTATACAAAAAAAAAATGGGGTCATCTGAGTGATCCGAACGGAAATGTAGCCAATGTAATAATTGTAAAGGAATTCAAAAAGTAACTTGCTTTCTAACAAGTTATATACATTTAATACTTCATACATAACACTTAATATATGTCAAATAATAGTAAATTCTATATAATAAAATATTATAAAGAAAAATAAATAATTTCTCATTAAATAAGCGATTTTTTGTTTTATTTTAGTAATCAATATTTGTATATTTTAATAAATAAAAACAATAAATATTTTCAAGAATAATTATTTTTATTTAGAATAAAAAGTTTGTGTTTGAATTTAGATTATATAATTTAAATTTCCTCCACCACCAGTTACCTAAAAAAATTTATCTTACCGACAACTAATTTCTTACTTATAACTTAGAAGACTTGGAAGACAGATCAATTGTCGTTCTTTTTTAATGTTTCATGGGTTACAGTTTAATTTTTTTCATAAATATGATATCTAAATGTTTTAATGTGTGTATTTTATTATATAGAATTTACTATTATTTGACATACATTAAGTGTTATGTATGAAGTATTAAATGTATATAACTTGTTAGAGAGCAAGTTACTTTTTGAATTTCTTTACAATTATTACATTGGCTACATTTCCGTTCGGATCACTCATTTATAGCTATGTTTGAACGTTGGATAAAATTGTATCCCTGATTGAAAAAACGATCCTAAAATTTTCAAATAATTCCTGCCGACTATTTTTTCAAAAAAATAACGCCTCTAGTGAACACTTTTAACATCACGACTAAACGAGTTGAAGCCGAAACTTCAGGGTTAATGTTTACGATAACACCCGAAGACAAACGGAATTATAGTAATCTTTAAAATTAATTAAAAATCACCACAAATTACCAGTAACATCACATCCGAATATTTTCAGTGTCCATCAATGCTATCATGTTAACGTGTCGTGACAGATATATAAATTGGGACAATGCCTGATAACGTAAGTACATTATACAGAATTTATTCTCAATATCAATTCTTATATAATATTATTATTACAATAAAAGACTAGATTGATTTTTTTTTATGATTTCAAATAGGGGACTTGATTAAACCAATGAAGATTAAACCATGAAGATCATTTAGTCGACTTGATTGAATCGACAACTGAGCTCAACTGATAGTGAATTCTGTTTTAAAAGTGAGTATTAAAAAAGAAAGTAAAAAATATATTTTTTTTTTTTTTTTTTTTTTTTTTAATTAAAGCAGTTTTACACAGTGTTTAAATTAAAAATATTTACAGTTAAAAATGTTGTCATCTAAGAATCTATTGACAAGCATTGCATCTCCGGGTCTACGACGTAAATTTTCGTTGCTCAAAAACCAAGGATTCATCAATGGAAAATGGGTTGCTGCCCAAGGAAACGCCAAATTCGAAGTCGTCAATCCAGCTACCAAAGCTGTAATTACTTCAGTCCCCGACATGAATATCCAGGATACTAAACTCGCCATTGATGCAGCCACCGAAGCATTCAAGACATTTCGCAATACTACGGCTAAATATCGCGCTAACTTGCTTCGAAACTGGTACAACTTAATGGTCCAGCATTCTGAAGAGTTAGCAAAAATTTTAACCCAAGAAAATGGAAAATCTCTGGCTGAGTCTCGAGCTGAAATCACGTATGGAAATTCATTCGTTGAGTGGTTCTCCGAGGAAGCTCGTCGCATAAATGGTGAAATTCTTCCAGCTACAACAGACAATCGTAAATTAATGATTCTCAAGCAACCAGCAGGGGTAGCAGCTCTTATAACACCATGGAACTTTCCACATGCGATGATAACTCGCAAAGCTGGTGCTGCAATAGCTGCTGGTTGTACATGTGTAATAAAACCTTCAGAGGATACTCCATTGACAGCACTAGCGCTTGCTCAGCTAGCTGATGACGCAGGATTTCCTGCAGGAGTCATTAATGTTATCACTACGAATACAAGTAACTCACCGGATGTTGGTAAAGCTATTTGTGATGACAAACGTGTTCGAGTTGTCTCGTTCACTGGTTCTACGCAGGTCGGTAAAATTTTGTACCGTCAGTGTGCTGATAATGTTAAAAAAGTCTGCTTAGAGTTAGGTGGTAATGCACCATTTATTGTTTTTGAATCAGCAAATATTGATTTAGCAGTATCAAGTGCAATGGTTTGTAAATTTCGTAATACAGGTCAAACTTGCATATCTGCAAATCGATTTTACGTACAAAAAAATGTCTTCCAGGAATTTACTAGTAAGTTTTTAGAACGAATGCAAAAAGACATAGTATTGGGTGACGGTATGAAACAGAATGTTACTCACGGACCTCTGATAAAAATAAGTCAGATTGATATGGTGGATCATTTAGTACAAGATGCTGTAAGCAAGGGCGCGAAATTACATTGTGGTGGCAAACGATTGGCAGATCTTGGAGAACTTTTTTACGCTCCTACGCTGTTGACCAATGTTAATGAAAATATGGAAATTTTTTCAAAAGAAATTTTTGGTCCTGTCGCTGTCATTCACGAATTTGAAAGTGAAGATCAGGTACTCATGGATGCTAATAATATTAATGTTGGACTAGCAGGGTATTTCTATTCGGAAAATTTATCACAGATTTTTAGAGTTGCAAGGAAAATGGAAGTTGGCATGATTGGAGTTAATGAAGGATTAATTTCATGTGCCGAAGCAGCGTTTGGTGGGGTTAAAGAATCAGGATTGGGAAGAGAGGGTTCTAAACATGGAGTCGATGATTTCTTGGATATTAAATATCTATGTCTTGGAAATATCCAATATTAAAAAAATTCTTTTTCTAATTTCTTATAATTTTATCATTCGTCAAATGAAAAATCATGGTTTAAAAATTTATAAATATTAATTGTAAGATGTGCGGAAAATGTTATTCTTTTCTTATAATCTAATGGTTTTGGTTTATAATTTTATGGAAACTTTGAGTTTATATAAATTAAAAAAATGATAATCTTGCGCAAACTGAAAAAAGCATTTCCATCACAAGTAGCCGATGTCTAAAGTATAAATATTTAAATTATAACTTCATTGTCTCTCACAAAAAAAGTCTAAAGAATGCAAAAAAAATGACAAGCAAATATTGTTGAATCACAAGCTATAAGATAAGCTTGATAATAAGTCGATAAATAGGCAGAATGATTGTGCTGCACAGTAATAAAAATCGTTATAGTTCAATCCATATTTAAAATACTTTTCACTTCGTGTAACAGCCCGAATTATTTGATTATATTTTTAAAAAATGTGTTACATTAGACAGTAAAAATATCTTTTGTATAATATCTACCGATGCTGTGTAAAATTTCACAAAATGCTTACATCGTATTAAAACTATTATTGTTAGACAAAAAACGTAAACAAAAAAATACTATTTTATTCAAATTATTTTTTATTTTATCTATTATACCATTTAAAGTATTTGTTAACTTTAAAAATGTAAGAAACATACACTCGCCGAAAGTGTGACATATATTAATTAATAGTGCAAAATAAATGTCTTCCAAAATAAAAAAAATTCTAATAACAAATAATATTGACTTTATCGATTCTTGATTGTACCTTATTTTTATTTTTGACCTGATAATTATATTTTGTTATAGAATTTAATTATAATATAATTTTAGAATTATTAGACAAAGAATACTCATTTAGAAAATTTATATTTCATTTTGCAAGTAAACAAGTCAGCTTATTCGAAGAATCACAAAACGTAGAGATTTATGAGATTTAGTAGAATAACTTAACTTTCTATAATCATTTATTTATTAAACTATAAAACTTTTTTGAAAAGACTGAGCTTGTTCAGCTTTTCCACTCATCATTCTTAATTAATCCGCGGGTAATTTAAAGTAATATATCATGTGACCCAGTTTTCTCTGTAGAATTGAGTACTCACATGAGGTCGCACCTTAACAAACGCTCACATAAGGTGAGTAACTAGCTTTCTCTTTTCATGAAACTGCAGCTAGAACTCTGAATTGATTGTCAATGTGACTTAAACAATAGTTAATACACTTTGTTGTCCTGTTATCTATCAATTATCATTTCATTTATCATTTATGAACTTATATTCGATTTGGGATGTTTTTTTTTGTTTCAATCATGGAACATTTGACTTAAGTATACATCAAATTGTGACAAGCTCATGTAATAGCTCTAAATTATAGTGCATTATGATCAATATATTTAAATTTAGAAGTTTCTAATTACCTAAAGTCCTAACATTAGAAATTTAATAATATTTACTTAATGCTAGGAAGTTTCATCGGTTGGTGAACTCAAACATCGTCAATCAACAAAATAGTCTCTAAAATAAATATTGAGCTTCTATTTTGGTATATCATAACGGTAAATTTGTAAAATAATTATTAGATATTAATTAGCATAATTAGACTCAAAACTAAAATAATGATATTTTTCAGGTCCATCCGAGCAGAATCTCAATTGTCAACTTCTGCAACCTTGTAAATCGATTTACAGTCTTTGATCAACAACTTGCAGTAAAAAATTAAAAAATCATATGATATATACTGTTTCTACTAAATTAGAAATGGAAAATATACGAATTTTTTTGAAAAATTAAACTTGGTTTAAAGATTCTATAAAATTTAGATTTGAATGAAACAAACAAAGTGCGAATACTCAAATCGCAAAAATGCACGAAAAAAATGAATCATCAACGATTAATTTTATTAAGAACATTTTTTCATCACGACGTATCAGCTTACCCATAACTGTTCCTACGAACACAATAGTTAATAATATAAATATCAACAATAACATTAATAATAGTAAAAATGTTATAAATGTAATCAGCAGCTTAGGATTAATTCTACAATCACGTCCACCAAATTTACCTGCCAAAAATTCTCGCGAAGAATTATTACACCGCAAACAATATGACGCTCTTTTGGATGCAATTAAAAAACGAGAATTACGTAAGGAAAGAGATTATCAAAAGAGACGTGCTCAACAATTGGAGGATGAAAATAAACTGTCTTCGAATTTACAGTATTGGGATCAGAAAATAATTCCTAATTTCAATCAAATCAAATCAACTGCTGAGGTACGTGAGTTATGGTGGTTTGGAATTCCATCAGCTGTACGTGGACGGATTTGGCGTCTTGCCGTTGATAATAATTTGAATTTAACTGCTGAAACATACACAGGTTGTCTAAAACAATTCAATATCGCTAATCATGCTGAATCTGCCTCAATAAAATTAGATATTACGCGTACCTTTCCGTTATTACAGATTTTCCAAAAAAACGGACCATTGTTTGAATCTCTTTACAATTTATTAGGCGCTTATTGTATTTTTAAACCGGAAATTGGGTATGTACAGGGTATGAGTTTTATAGGAGCTATGTTAATACTTAATATGGATACACCTGATGCGTTCATTTGTCTAGCTAATTTATTCAATAATAATTTATATCATAACACAGCGTTTACGTTAAATCAAATAAAAATTAATAAATATTGGACTATTTTTAATGAATTATTATCAAGAAATTTATCTTGTTTGCATAAACATTTTCTTGAAATCAATTTGACTCCAGATTTCTACTTACTTGATTGGTTGTTCACAATTTATGCTAAAGCATTGCCGTTAGATGTAACAAGTAGAATTTGGGATGTTTTTGTTAGAGATGGGGATGAATTTTTATTCAAAACTGCTATTGGTATTCTTATGTTATACAAAAATGAATTATTCTCTATGGATTTTGTGCATGCTGCACAATTCTTGATAAAACTACCGGATACGATCAAAGTTGATGAAATGTTTAAGTGCATCAAATCAGTCAATATAGAAATTGCCGGTAAGACTTTTGATCAAATTATTTTATCATTATGAATAATTAGTTGTTTCATTTCATAATAATTTTTAATATTAAAGTTTAAAATTTTTTGGTTTCTAAACTCAAATAATTACATAGTTGATCATGATTAATAGCTGATGGTAATAACTTAAATACATTCAAGTATTTTTAAAGCAAAAGAAATAACTTTAAATTTATCATTTATTTTAGCAAAAAATTTTATTTTTTATTGATGAAAAAAAAAAACATATTTGGAGAAAAGTTGAAGTTTTCCTGTCAAACAAATTAACAGTAATATTATTGTTAAAAAATTACTGCTTCTATTTATGAGGAAAATTCTGTTATTGTTGTAAATATTAACGTTTTTTAATATCCAACTCATTAAATTTTTAATAAGTAAATGAGAGAGATATTTTAATAATCAAAATATTGCATCCTGTAAAAATGTAAGCGTGTATGTATAGATAAGTATCAAGGAGATTGAATCTGTTAATACTCGATGTTATTTTTTTAATAATCCAAAAATCCAGAAAAATGAATGAAATTATATTGTATGTTGTATTTTTATGATATTTTTAAATCTGTGTAATAGATTTATGAATAAAATATTTTTTTACGTTAACATGATTTTAGTGTTTAGTGTTACATTTACTCTCATTCTAATTATAATTTAAAATTTCAGTAAAATTATAGTTATACAAACTCTTTACAATTGCAAAATTTTAGAACTTCTATTTAATGTTAGTACCAAATCAATTTTGGATATTTTTTTTAAATTTTACACTTCCATTTAAACTTATTGTAAGTATACGTGACATAAACTCTGCGAAGTATGAATATACTTACATAAGTATTATGGAGACTAATAACCACAATATTAACAACTTATTTAAAATGTTATCATAATACTAATTTATAAATGCTTTATAAAACTTCTATGCATGCTATTATTAATTGAAGCTTTTCTATTGAAAACTTTTAATATCTTTTGTCTGTGTGTTATTCTCCATAAATAATTCGTTTCCATTTGTTCTTTTCTTTTTTCCTAAAACACAGGCCATTTTGACTTTACTGAAATGTTTAGAGGATTGGAGAAAAATATTTACTACCACTAAAACTCTCAAAGTGTCTACACGGATAAAAAATAGGTGCTGCAACAAGATGCAGTCCTGAGGGAGCAATAGATAAAGCCCTGTTGCAGCAACAACAGGATTTTTCCTGTGGGAGCTACAAGATAAAATTAAAAATTTTAAATAACGTTTACTTTTAGCTACTTTACTCTGTATACAATCGGAAATGAATTTGGAGTAAATTTTCATTTTCTATTACTCAGAGTACCAGAGTAAATAAATATAAATAATTTTTGTTCAATTAAAATAGGTCTCATATACAAATTTTTTTTCTTCGGGATTGAAGAGATATTTAAATTAAAAAAAAAAAAAATCAATTTTGTAGAAAAATTCTAATTTTTAAGAGAAAAAAAAATTCGAAATTTAAAAAAACTGTCATTGTGAATAATTTATAATTTATAATAATAATTTGATTAGAACGTATAAGAATTTTTGCACTAATTATTTACGTAATGATAATCAGAAAGTATGATACTGGATAAAACATTTTTTTTTAATTTCCCTCTTTTTTATGATTCAATATTTCATAAAAATTTGAAAGTTTTCAAAATTGAAAGTTTTTTTTTACATTAAAAATTTTTTTTAAATTGAAATTTTCTTTAGTTCGAATTTTTTTTTCAAAATTCGAATTTTTCTGCAAAATTGATTATTTTTTTTAATTTAAATATCTCCTGAATCCCGAAGAAAAAAATTGTACGTATGAGTCTTATTTTGATTGAATAAAAATTACTTATATTTATTCACTCTGATACTCAGAGTAATAGAAATAAAAATTTACTCCAAATTAATTTCCAATTGTATACAGAGTAAAGTAGCTAAAAGTAAACGTTATTTAAAATTTTTAATTTTATCCTGTTGCTCCCACAGGACTGCATTTATTTATTTATTTATTTATTCATATTTTCGTTCATTCATCCATTTATTGAATTTGATTTCACATTTGTTATATTTATTTTTATTAATTAATAATGATAATTTATTGATAAGTTAATTTAATTTATTCATTGTATTAATTCTATTTGAAACTACCGCCTCAACTCCTCGCCATTTTGGTATAAACGGAAGACCAACGCCCTCTTATTTTGAGTATACTTGTAGTTCGTGTTCCTTATGAAGTCTTCTTATGTCGTCACTGTCGGTTAGTTTTGGCTATTTTAATTGGCGCCATCTTATAACCAGCCAAATAAACTATTTACTTTTTTTGTTTTTTTGTGCACTAACTTTTTTGGATATTACAAGTCGTAGGTGGTTCTACAAATACTTCTCAAGATCAATGTTTATAACGACATAGCAGCAGCTGCTTGTTACGAAAATTGGGCTCGGCTGTATTGGTGGTGGTTCTGTATACTTTTCTTTCTGGTCTGGTCTTTGGTCTTGCCCTCTTGGCCCAAAGTAGAGATAGAAATTCTTGATGGTGGTTAGGCTCATATAAATTATTATTTAATATATTTATTACATTAGTTTAAAAGTAAGACTTGATTGTAAAATGGCTGTTGCTGCTAGAGCATTCTCTAAATTGACAGGTGAGATAATCATATTTATTAATAGCTATTTTATTTAATTTAATAAATAAAAACTAATTCAAATTTTACAATTGATACTTTGCCCCGGTGATCTTGTGCAAGTCCTTCAAGTTTGCTTAGTTGCCAATTGATATGCACATTTTTTTTTTTTCATTTTATTTATTAATCTATATGTATACATGTGTCTGTATATGTATGTATACATTTTTTTCATGATTAATTTGATTTAACTGGCAGTTATCATTTAAGCTATATATAGAACAATAAAGATTTCCGTACTTGTACAAAAATTTAATTATTATGTAAGAAAGGATACTGTCATTAAAAAAATATTCTTGTAGTAATTGAGAAATTAATATTAATTAACTAAATTAATCAACTGACATTTAAAAAAATAATTTTCATTTATAGTTTTTAAAATTCGCATTCGAGTCGTTGATGATGTAATTTTTATTTACTTGATGTTTTTTTTTTTTTCTCTATACGTCATCTATGTCATCAATCTATTTGCTTTGTGTTCCTATTCGGGATCCTATTTGAGATGTTCATGACCTCGTTCACTAAATACTCAAGTACAACATTTCCACGGTCCTCACCTTGAAATGATAATAAACATTTCAACCTTAATTCGTTTTATAATTTACTTTTTAAATAATAAAAGTATTTTTTTTTTTTTTTTTTTTTTTTTTTTTAATAAATTTATTGTAAAAAAATTAATAATTCTTTTTCTTTACATTCAGTAAGAAGATCAAGCAGTCTCTTGGCTTCACAAGTGAGATTCAATTATACAGAGACGAGAAAAAATTTGAAAATTGATTCTAATACTAAAGTAATATGCCAAGGGTTTACTGGTAAACAAGGAACATTTCATTGTCAACAAGCCATAGATTATGGAACTAAAGTTGTTGGTGGTGTTAGCCCAAAAAAAGCTGGCACTGAACATTTGGGTAAGCCAGTATTCAAGACAGTTAAGGAGGTAATGGTTCTTTTTTATTTTTTATACTTCTATAAAAGTAATTGCTAAATAATGTGTAATTAAAATCAATTTCATTTTTACTAAAGGCAAAGGAAGCTACTGGAGCCACAGCTTCTGTAATTTATGTTCCACCTCCAGCAGCTGCTGCTGCAATTATGGAAGCACTTGATGCTGAGATGCCCTTAATTGTATGTATTACTGAAGGTATTCCTCAACACGATATGGTTAAAGTTAAACGGCGGTTATTAGAACAAAATAAATCACGTTTGATTGGGCCAAATTGTCCTGGAATCATTGCACCAGAACAAGTAAGTAGTTTTCACTCACTAAAACACTTTTTTTTTTTTTTTTTTTTTTTTATTAATGGTGAATATTATTTAGCTTACATAACATATTGTTTTAGTGTAAAATTGGAATCATGCCGGGCCATATTCATCAAAAAGGAAAAATCGGTATTGTTTCAAGATCAGGAACTTTAACTTACGAAGCTGTGAACCAAACGACACTTACTGGTCTCGGGCAATCACTTTGCGTTGGTATTGGAGGTGATCCATTCAACGGCACTGACTTTATTGACTGCTTGGAAGTATTCATCAATGATCCGGCTACTTCTGGAATTATCATGATCGGAGAAATTGGAGGCAGTGCTGAAGAATCAGCTGCTGAATACCTTATTCAGCATAACAGTGTTAGTTGATTTGTAGAAATAGTATTTTTTTATAATATTTAACGTATTGATTCAATTGTATTATTATGAAAAAAGATTTTAAATAGTAGTTGCTATTATTTTACAGGGCTCAAATGCTAAACCTGTGGTATCGTTTATTGCCGGAGTTACCGCACCACCTGGACGTAGAATGGGTCACGCTGGAGCTATTATTTCAGGAGGCAAAGGAGGGGCTCAAGACAAAATAAACGCACTTGAAAAGGTAAAATATAATTTAAAATTTAAAATTGTATAATTTAAAATTTTTTATCATTTTCAGGCTGGCGTTATTGTAACGAGAAGTCCCGCTCAAATGGGTCGTGAATTATTAAAAGAAATGACACGTCTTGGTCTTCACTCATCTTAATGAATCAAGACTTATTTGTAAAATATTGTAGTCCTATTTGTCCTAATATCCTTCAAATCAATTAATTAATAACTCATTCTCTTTATCATTCTGGAGAAAAATAAAAAAATATATTACTAATAAAAGGACGAATGTTGACGCAATTTTTGAAGTTTAAAATAAATAGATTCAATATGTAAAAATATTTTGAAAGTATATATCAAATTGATGTGTAAGCGAACGCTATCCATATTATATTATTAAAATAACATTAATGTTAATAAAAATAATATATTAATAATTAATAATGAAAATTGTACAGTGTTCATGATCCTTGCAGGATTATATTGTATTGAAAGTAATTCAATTGTGTAGTTTCACACTTATAATTGACGAAATGTGAAACTTTGTTTAAGCCATAACAAAACAATAGGAAAAATAACTCAACAATTGTTATTTAATATCGCGATTTACTCATAAAAAACATCATATTTCTATATAATGTTATTAAATCACAATGCGCTTAATGTAATTAATGTTGAAAATAAAAAAAAAAAAATTAATCATAAAATTAGTTTCAAGCTGAGTTAACAATAGTTACTCAAAACCCATGATATAATCAATGATCTCAGCAATTTTTGGGCTTTTATCATCCACAAATCGTTTCAATCGTAATAAATTCATTGATTTGCAGACTTCCAAAAGTGTAGTACAAGTACATTGATACAAATATTTGTCTTGGCTCAATTGCTCAGCAAGTTCTGATTGATGGTTGTCCATGAGTAAATCATTAGTGACTACGATAAGTGGTTTCTTTGCTCCCAACGCTTCTAAACAGCTCCCAGCACCAGCATGGCTAATTATTAAATCGGCGAATCTCATGTATTCATTGATTGACGGTTTCAACGTGAACGTCTCAATATACTCAAAACCACATCTGGGAGTACAATCTGGAGTTAAATTTGTATTACCAATTTGTAAAATTAATCTACGATATCCTCTTCTACTCAATTCCTGGAATTATAATTAATGAATCAATTAAAGATATCAAAGCTAAAATATATACAATTATTTTTGTATTTTTTTTTTAATAGTTTACATAATCAACGTTAAAAATCAATAGATAAATAATTTTTACCATTAAAACTTCATCTTCTAAAACAGTTTCTATTAATTTATCAAACTTTGTTGTTCCAACAGTGACAAAAATAGTCATCGTATTAACTTCCATTTTTCAAATAATTAAGATGAGATTACGATAATAACATGTTTTAAGGGAAAATTTTAATATTATCAACTCGAAGATATCGATGTCATCCTGCAATAAATATTGTTGTCGTTGTCAGTTGTATCTCTTATCAAGTAAAATAAAGAGAACACGTGACGTGAAAGCTCTTTTCTTTTTACCTCTTCAACAATTAATTAATTATAAGGTAATAATTTTCTTTTATTGGCAACAATGGTAGCGGATTTATTTTTTAATTTTGATAAGTTTGCTACTCTGCTGCGTGCGCTCAACGAATTTCCTGCTTTACTACGCAGATACGGCTTGTTACCTTGCCCCTGCTTCTGCTCGTCCCGTGTATGTCTGTGCTGTGCTTCGTACCGATGAATATGTCCATACTCTACGACAATTTATTATTGAGAAAAAAGTTATAATAGTAATTTTATATTTAAAACTGTATTATTGTTAAATGAACATATCTTACACTATTTCAGTGGCACGTAATTTTATTGTGAAATTGAGTATTTAAATAAATACTTGTTATAATACAAGTTTTATCAATCAACATTTGTCCAAGAAACGTATAACTATCGACTTGAGTGATAATGGCCGATGCTGATGGAAAAAAATTGACCGAGTTGCGGGTCATAGATCTTAAAACAGAATTAGAGCGACGTGGTCTAGATAAAACTGGCAATAAAGCCGCACTTCTAGATCGTTTATCAAAGGTACTTTAAGTAATATTTATTTAATAAATTTACTCTGTACCGTAGTATATATAATGTTATTTACAGCATGTACAAAATAAAAATTGTCCAGGCGTCGCGTGTTCGTCGCCATTTTTGACTGCATCGATCTCTATGATGAATTATTTTTTTTTTTTTTCTTTACACGTATTGTATAGAAACAATATTTAAATAATTCAATAACTACGTAGTCATTGTTAAATCAATTAGAAAAAAAACTTGCCATTGTGACATTTTTCAACTTCTCATGATAACAATTGTATTTTTGTTGATGACATTATTAAAAATCAATATAGACAATTAAAAGTTAGTTAAATATATTTTTACAATGATAATTTATTTATCGCCGATGGCTTTTATGTTGTAGGCGATTATCGATGAAGGCGAAGATCCAGACGAGTATCTAATCGTTCCATCTGGTGGATCAAATAAAATTAGCCCACGAAAAAATAGTGGTAATTAATATTGCTATTCATTACCTTCATAACCATACATTAAAATTTTCAGTACCCTAAATTATTTTTGACATTTATTATAAAAATTTAGAAGTTACAGGTGTTGTAGCTCAAGAAGAACCGGTAGAAAATCATAAAGAACCACCTGTAAATAAAGAAGTAGAAATTATAACGCCCAAAGAAGAACCACACTCGGAGACTGAAGAAGAGAGTAAACCCATTGAAGAGGTAAAATATTTTTTCAACAACTTAATTATTAGAACAAGAATATTTACTGGGAATAAATTAATTACCGTTTTCTTCTTTTGTAATTTTAGGAAATGGAACAGAAAGAACAAGTGCCTGTAAAGGAAGAACCTGCAAATGAAGAACCTGTAGAAGAAGAAGAAGAAGAAGAAGAAGAAGCAGAGAAGATGGAAACGGAACCAGTAAGTGATGAAGCCTCTAAAGAGGTGGATGATAAGAAAACTCCTGAATCAACACCAGTTCAAGACTCACCGACACCGATGATATCAACACCTGCACCTAAACATATTATTGAAGAAAATTCCGCAGCTGCAGTTGAAGCTAATGGTATTGATACTGAGGATTCGATTAATTTGACCATCGGGGAAGACGAGGAAAATCTCCTTGCCGAGGAGGTATATTTTGTCATAACATAAATTAACTACTAGCAAAAATTAGGAATTAAGTTTCATATTAAATATTTTTATGATTTAATGTTTCAGACGGAGACTCACGTTAAGCAGAAAGGTAAGTTTTTATAATAAAACATTTATAATAATTAAAAATTCAAGAAATTCCCTGAATATTAAGAAATTAATGTATTGTATGTAGTAATGCTTGTTTTTAATATTATGATAATGATAATCGTGTTGCGTGAGTAATACAGGCGTAATAATTTCATCAAGAATTTAAGGAAACAAAAAAATAAGTTAATAAAATTAGTATCGTCGACGCGTAAAGAGTTCGTCTCAGCAGCAGAGACGAAATCGATAATTTTCAAACCTATCGTGTGCCGTCAACCCATCCCGGACTCGGAATAGGAATTCCAAGCGTCTCATCTCTATTTGTTGATGCTGGGTACTCAATGTCATCACGGAACAGGGTCAATGGAGGCTTGCAGTCGGGACATCCTACCGGTATCATGGTTTTCACTCCGAAGATGGGCTAATCCTGTTACTTTTTCCTCGACTAGACAGGACACGGATACTCAACCCAGTCCTCGCCTTATTACATTGCGGTTCTTCTTGTCTCTTGACAACACTTAGGAGATTATATTTGTTAAGTTATAGTTTAAACTAGAAAACAATTTGACATGAGCATACATTAAATTAATTAAAAATACCTGCCGCCATAGAGCAACGTTGGACCATTTGGGCTAACCTCGAGTCGTTAACCTCACTTTTAACGAAGATAATCATCCTCATCGCGATCAACATCGGCTGGGGTTTTTGAGATTACTACTTTCGTCACGTCATTTGATCCGTATTTATGTATATAATTTTATTGCAAATACACCGAAGTATTTGCACATGTAGATTTTTGGCCGTTCGAGTATACATCTCAATCAACTTTTTTCCGCTCTCTGCGCTGCATTTCCCTTAGAAGTTTCTCTTCTTTCGCTCCCGAAAAATAAAATATAAATTTATTATTCAAATATGTTTAAAAAATCCGTCAAGCGCTTTTAATTCGCTAACACAGGCTTTTCAGTCGTACGAGATAATATTATCTCCAACGAGAAATTCAAGTCACTTTTCAGGGAATTCAATAAATAAATAAATAAATAAAATATCTCACAAAAATCATGACATTGGAGGAGGAGAAGTGTATTACTTCTGCCTGTTCCTGAGTTGGACGGACCACTGTACTCTGGCTTGATTGTTCCTTCAGATGGTGGAGCGAAGAAGAGAATTGAAGAAAACAACAAGAAAGGAGAATCCAAAGGGAGCAGCAGAGCGGAAGGTGGCACCGGGAACAAGGATGGCATCTCATCGTCAAGTGCTAACTCAGGGATCAAGAGCAAGCAGGATGGTGGCGATGGAGGCAAGAGGTTGGTCTCACATTGCTAAAAACAAAATCAAAAAAAAAATATATCTATATATTATATATATATATATATAAAATAACAAATCAGCGGTTCACGTTGGTCCACGGTGACGTGATAAAACCGTCACGTTACCCGGCGGAACTGAACATTTATTTTAAAAAAAAATATATTCTTATATATATTTAAATTACGATGCGCTTAAGTTGGATATATCATCTCACCTGGATGTGTAATACAGTCTACGATGGCGCTTTCCTACTTTCCCAAGATTTATTCAACAGTTTATAAAGCAAGATATATATTTATAATATATGTCAGTTTGTTTTACCTTATCCCTATTCTTTTGCTATTGACAATATTTTATAAATATATTTTGTTCGTTAATCGTGGATAATTAAAAAAAACAAAAACAGGGCTGTAATTTTAACTCTGGCAAGTATGTTAAGATATAGTTCAAATTATCTAGCAAACTTTAGTGTCACATATCAGTTGATGAATCACTGACAGTTAACGAGCTTCGTGTGTTTAATTCTCTTAAAATATTAACCTGGCACACTTAACGCCCCCATCAAACATCCATCATCATATCCATGGTCAGAGGATTCCAATGAAGAAATTTTTTTCACTTTGTGTTTGTGCACGTAGCACAAAATTCATTTAGTAATTTTTTTTTTTAATTATTTTTATTACTTCTTTCATTCTACATATCAAGAAATTCATGGTGAAATCGACATCGATGTCAAGAAGTAGTTGATTGATGAGCCAGTGACAGCAACAATGTGCCACACACTAAGAACACAATTCAATTATAATAATAATTGATAATCATTAATAGTAAAAAGTATTCGCAAAAAGAGTGCTAGTCTAATTTGTTATCTTAACATAGTTAACAGAGATATATATTAAGCCTGTGTAGATTTTATATTAGTTTATTTTTTCTTGCTCCAAATTACATTAGTTACGAAAAATTATTTAAAAAAAAAAAAAAAAAAAAAAAAAAAAAAACCCTACAGTACAGCTACAATCAAATAACATAGAATTGTTTACAGTGGTGAATCTGGTACCAAAGGGCAGAAAAGAGATGACAAGGGTAAGTTTAAATATCACAAGAGTTATAAACCTGAAACAAAAAAAAATGAAGAGCGTTAATTATTTGAAACAAATGATTTTTTTGGTCTTGTAGACAAGAAAATAACGCAAGGAAATACGGCTAATGCAAGTAGCCGCAATCTCTGGGTCTCGGGATTATCATCGACAACACGTGCTACAGATCTTAAACAGATATTTTCCAAATATGGAAAGGTAATTGGCGCGAAAGTTGTTACTAATGCAAGAACACCTGGTACAAGATGTTATGGTTACGTAACCATGTCAACAAGTGAAGATGCCGCTAAATGTATTCAACATCTTCATCGTACTGAACTTCATGGTCGTGTTATATCTGTAGAAAAGGTATTACTACAATGATGAAAATGAAGTATCATTGATATTATAATCATCAATTTTATTAGGGTATTTGTAATTAATATTATTATTCATTAGGCTAAAGGTGATACGCAACAGAGTCACATGCGTAAACGTGAATCCAATAACGGGAAGATTGAAAAAAAAGATGAAAAAGATACTAAGGGTAAGGATGTTCATACTGATCCTTCTTCAGTCGAGAAAAAAGAAAAGGATAACAAAAAGGAAGACGATAAAATTAATGATGGTGAGTTAATATATTCCGATTATGTGATTGATTAAAAGATCGTAATCATAAGTATGATAAAAGGAAGTAAACCTTGCCATCATCATTTATTCTTAAAAATTTCACAGCCAAAAAAACCGACGAAAAAGTACACAGTACAGACGATAAAAAGTCAGATTCATCTGAAAAGAAAGATGATAAGGATGCTGATGCACGTTCAACTAAATCTACGAGCAAGAAACCAGAAAGTGAACGAGGAAAGCGTGATGATAAACGTGGTGTACGTGCTTATGATCATCATCGCTCCCACTCACGATCTCGTAGTCGAGAACGTAGGAGACGCGATGACGTATTGACATTCGCGAAAATAAGGGTTAGATATATTGTATTTTTATTTGTTTTCAATTATTAGGGAATTACATTTCTTGTATAATTATTTCATAATTTTTTTTTTACTAATTTTTTTTTTTTTGTTTTTTTTTTTTTTTTTTTTTAATTATTATAATTTCATTAATTTATATAGGAGGAACGAGAAAGACAAAGATTACGCGAGCGAGAGCGTCTCGTTAGAGAAGAAGAACGTAGACGCAGAGAAGAAATGGATCGTCAACGTGAAATTGAACGCCGTCAAAGAGAAGAAGCTGCACGATTGGAACGTGAACGTGAAAAACTTCGACGTGAACGTGAAAGAATAGAACAAGAAAAGGCTGAGTTGTTACGCCTTGAACGTGAACGACAAAAGCTCGAAAGAGAAAAACTTGAACGCGAACGTTTAGAGTTAAAGAGACAGCAAATGCGTTTAGAAGAAAGTAGACGTGTACCACCACCCCCAACTATTAAACGTAGTTCTACAGATCGTCGGGATATCCGTGACCTGTACGTTGAACCTGATAGAAAACGTCTCGCTACTGAGCATTCTCGTCGACACAGTCCTGACAGGGTACCAGACAGACGAACAGAAATAATGGAACGTGTTTCTGAACGACGAATGGACACATCACCTCCTGGTAGATACGAATCAAGCAGGTAATTTTATTAAAATTATTTTTTATTTTTTTTCAAACATTTTTAATATTTTTATTTTTATTAAAAAAAAAATTTTTTTTTTATCATTAATTGTATTTGACGCACTGATTATTAGAGCAACTCAGGATATGGCTATGAAGAAAGATTTTAAACGTTCCAGTGAATTTACTTCACGTAGCAGTCGTCCGGAAACATTTACTGATGTATCCAGAGGTAGAGAGGTCATTGTCCGTCGTGAATCATTACCAACTCAGCCATCAGCTATTGATCCGAGACAAGTTAAAGAGAGGTTCGTAGTAAAATTATAAATGATTTATAATTGATTTGGATTTTTATAGAATAACAATTTATTTAAATAAATAGCAGCAGGTATGACCGACAATCTTACGGTCGCAGTGAGCGAGATGTTAGGCGTTCAGAACCAGAGCCTCATCGAAGTTCTCGTGACGCTCATGCTGGACGATATAGCGACAGTAACAAGCCTCCTGGATCAAGTGCACCTGGACGTTAGTATATTTAAATTATTTAAACATTAAGTTTCTTATCATTGATGATTTTTTTTATTTATAATTACTTATTTTTTTTTTTTTTTTTTTTTTTTTTTTTTTAAATAGGCGATAGTCGTTATGCTGAAAGCGGACGAACACCAAGTGGTTGGCATTCAGGACCCCCTTCAACAAAGTCGTTTAACTCATTACCAAGCAGTGGTCAAAGAGGTGGAGATCCTCGTGATCAGCCGACATCTTGGAGTAATCGCACAACTGACAATGTCAGTAGATGGAGTAATTCAAGCAGCATGGCGAATGCTCTTCGACATCCTGGCCCGCCAATGGGTTATCAATCAAGTCAACTTCAATCACTTGGGTTGTCAGCGCCAGGCACTACGCCCTCGTATGATCGATTTGAACCATATAAATCAACTCTTGCTAATATGAGAAAGTATTAACAATAAGATAAATCATCTAAAAATATAAATTCAAATGGTATGAATATCATCGATTTTTAGCTATAATTACTGATAATAAAAATAACAAAAAAAAAAAGGAAAAAAAAATGCATCCATTCAGTTGTTATAATTATTTCATGATTTAGTCCTGACATGGTCATTAGCACTGCAGTTTTTGACAACTTCCGATGCACCGAACGTGATAAACGTTCTACAGTGCAAATTTATATATAGTAAATAGTCAGTACGTAAGCAGTCTTGATATGTTTCTTATAAGTAAAAAAGTAATTTATGTATATTTGTTAATAATTCAAGTTATAGATACTTGAATCGTGTTTAATCAAACACTAAATTTTTACAGTTATTAATTAATGAAGCTTAGTTTTGAGTAAAATTGCAACTATTAATTCATGTACGTAAACTTTCTTAAATTCAAATTAGATATTATTAATTGAAAATATATATAAATAATCTTTACATATTATTATTATATTATTAAAATAATCTTTTTTCTAAAATAATAGAAACCAAATTTTAGGTAATCGCAATCTCCATTTATATAATCTTTGTGAATTGTTATAATATAAAATTAAATGATGAAACACTAAATTGTAGTAAATAAAAAAAAAAAAAAAAAAAAAAAAAATAAGTTAAGTGAATATGATAGATTTTAACGATGTTTATATTTATAAACCGTTAATGCTACATCTTAGAATTAAAAATTATTAATAAAACAAAATATCAATCAAAACATTTTATCTATTTATTTAAAATAAATTACAACTTAAAGTATAACTTACTTGTCAAGTATAAGCGATTTATTATTTTAATGGGTATCAGATAAGATTTATGAAAAAAAAGTAAGCCAAAGTAAGAGCATCAATGACAAATGATTTTGTCACTTTCTTTGATCTTGGAAGAACAAAGTAATCGGGCGGAACCCGGACGTATTGGACCCACAAGAGAGTGGGGAAAGAAACCACTTTCCCTTGGAGGTGAGAAGAGTGTTAGGGATGGCGCCTTCGCGAAGGAAAGGAGAGAGTAACTTGTGGATGAGAAGTATGTCGAGGTCTTTTCACGGACAGTCGTGTTGTAGTTGAGACTGTCTTGCAACTATAAGTGCGAGCAGTCGATCGGGATCTACATATCCATGATTTTTTGCACCTCGACATTATTTTTATCGTGTTCTCAACATTTATATTTAATAGATTTATTTTTATGTAATTTCAAGTGCAGGATCACGTTGTGCTTCGAATGCTTGTGATTACACCATGCAATTAAATGTGACAATGTCTTCATGGATATTAGGTAAGTACCGGAACAAACGAGTTATGTGATGATAATGATGATGTTCACGATGACAGTAAAGTGATTTATATATACATATACACATATATGTTTCTGTCGTATGAATCAGTTTACTTGACCACGTGCAAGTGTATGTCTTCTTCTCTATGTTTTGTTCTCACGCGTTACACTTTATTTTCTTCTGCAACTAGTGTTTTTCTATGAATCTCGTGCGTGATCATCAGAGTGTATAAACTCGCCTGCGAGTCGACTTGTAATAATAATTATCATATGTATACTATTATTACACTGTTTTACATGTGTAATTAAATATCTTCAAATGTATATTTCACTCGTTGTGCTTTTTATTCAAAAATAACCTTTTTTAATCTATTAATTTCGATCCTCTTAATTGTAAGCGTTGTATTTATAATGTATTCTTGATTGGTTGATTACTATATTTACATTTTTTCTCCGAAGAGATTTTTATCTAAGCCCATAGTAATCTGTTGTAACATATCTGGGTTACGCGGTTCAGTAACGTCTTGAATACATATTTTTTTCTATATTAATTTTTTTTTTTTTTTTTTAGTGAGAAGCTAAAGAACAGAGAAGAAATCCGCGTTTCGTTCCGGCCATCAAGTATTTCTTTCTTTTCTCTCGAACGCATCAGCCAATTCAATGATTTGCCCATAATGTTTTCGCACGCGCCACAAAAGCCATACTAAATTATATCTCTTCCTTTAATTAACTAGAACGCCTTTATGAGATTGTTATTTAGGTCATAATATAACAAATCACCTTTCTCAAAAATTCATAGCTTAAAGTCAGTAGTTTTTTTTTTCTTTATCTGAAATTTTTTTATTCGCTTGGATTGATTTATTTATACATGTAACATGGTTATAATGATATGATAAAAGAAAAGAAGAAGGATTAATAAAGACAACAAAAATAACAGCAAAAAATAAGTTGTACAATTTATCGCTACTTTCTCCTACGTCCATTCGTATATCGTCTTCTTTCCTATTTTTATAATCAGTAACAAATTATTTTTATACATAATATTATAAAAAAATATTCCCTTTCACACTCTTCAAGGTTATTTAATCCACGTGTTTTCGTTTGTTTTTAACTTGACAATGAACTTGAGAGAAAAAAGTAATTTCAATAATTAGTAATTGTTTTTATTTTTTATTTTTTTTTTTTATCTATATCTCTGAATTGTAAGTTTATAAGATGATTTCGGCTTCTGGGCTTTTTTTTTCTTCTTTGGGAGATGAATGGCCATATATATAAACAGTATGTATTACAAATGATTCGGCTAGACGGTGAATCACGTTGTAGTTAATGTGATGGAAGAAAGGCATACTTTCTCGTCCAACAACTTTCACCGTCGATGAAGCCGCGCGTAGCTCTGCTAATGAGAATTGAAAAACCCAGTCTCGGATGTTTAAACAACAAAACATGTCATTTGTACATCGTTTTTTTTCTTCAAACATTAAATATGATAATACTAATGTTTACTTCTATAGATTGATCAACGAGAACAACAAAGCTGTCTGTTTTATTTTCAAAAAGTTCAACATCCTCTTCTAATTAGTTGTATTCATTATTCAAAAGAGATATTTTGTCGTCATGAATTTCTGTAATATCTTTATAATTACAAATGAAAAACAAAAAAAAAAATAATGTTACTGATGTTTGGTTTATATCAGTGACTGTAGTTTCAGTTGTCCCAGTTTTGTGATGACTGTGTTGGTGATGAAAGACGGTAGATAAGACGGTTGGAATAATATTTGAAAATTGGAAAGCCCGGATCTTTGTATAAATTTATTATGTCATGGGTTTCTTGTGCAATAAGGGATTTCCTGTATCTCAAAATTCCGAACACGTCATCTTTCTTATTTTAACTGATGAAGTAATTTACATATGTATTATTAGAATTATGCTTACTATTAGTATTTAATTAAAGATTTTTATGTTACAGGATTGTTTGTAATTATTATCAATTTTATATCAACAAAATCTTTTGAGTATCCAGTATATAATTCACGTAAGTTAATTATTAAAAATAAATATTAAAACTTTTTGATTTATTATAATGATTCTAAAATTGAGAGACATTTGATAATTTTTCAAACATTTATGACAAATAAATTGTAGCAATAATAAAATTAGAAAAAAAATTTCACTTGTTAAAATTGTAAAAAAAAGATGAGTGAAATTTTTTGAAAATAATTTATTTTTTAAATAAAATCCAAATACAGCAAAATATCTGATAATTTCAGTGTCATGATTTTTAAGTATAATTACTTCATCAAAGTATAAAATTAATTAAATAAAATATGAAAAATTTTCTTGTTCACTAGGATATGGATACCGAGCTGAACAATCTCCAGCAATGCCAGCTATTAGGCGTTGGACCGAAACCTGGAGTGATGGACCACGCCGTAGTTCTTTGTATCGCCGAGACACCCAAGGAATACCTCCGCGTGTACAGTATACAAAATTAGTTAGAGAACAAGAACCAAAGTCAGATCCTCTTATAACAATCAGCGAAACTTTGGGAGCTCTTAATACTGTTGGAAATTTTATTGTTAACATGACTCGTGGTGTTGATAATTCAGACAATCCATCGAAAGAATTACCATCTGCTATTTACACTATTTCTAAAAACATTTTAGGTCGAAATGTAACAGACAGTATAGTACCGTTGGTACGCGGAGTTACTCTACCTCTTCGTCCTTCCAGTTCTTCTTCTCCTTCTTCATCAGCATCATCATCATCATCATCATCATCATCATCATCATCATCATCTTTGACATTGTCGTCGTTGTCATCAACAGAAAAACCTGGAGATGACAATAAGAATAGTGAAAATGTTGTAATTAGAGATAAAGAATCAGCGTCATCATCATCGTGTACAACTGCTGAGGGTGGTCCAGGTAAATGTCAGGATCTCAGTAATTGCCCTCATCTTCTTTTGAATCTCACAAAACTACGCCAGTCATTATGCTTCAAAAGTCTCTTTGTGCCTGGTGTTTGTTGTCCGTTCGACAGAACTGATTTGCCGCCAACTATTTTAAGGTATCAATAATTATAACATTAAATAAATGTTGGAAGGAATGTTCATTCACTTGCACATTCGATTACTTTCTAATACAATTCATGTAAAATAAAGTAGATGATGATAATAATAATAATAATAATAATAACAATAATATTAATAATAAATAATGTTGTTTTGCAGTCCTGTGACAAGTTCACCAACTAGTGAAAGTGGACGACCACCGAGACCTCCTTATCGTCCATCAAAGCCAGTGACACCAAGGCCTATTCCACTATATCCAATATCACAACCATCTCCATCATCTTCAACTTCTAGTCCTAGTACAATCTTAAAACCATTACCCGATTTATCAAGCAACAGTTCTTCAAATAACGTTGAAACAGTAGATACAATTGAAAATAATTTCATTCAAGATGACGAAGGTAAATATTTAAAAATAATTTAAACATAATTATACATGTTACGATAATTAGTTTGAAAATGATTTTATAAAAAGAATGTGGAGTAAGGAATTCGGGAAAGTATCGTGTTGTTGGTGGCGAAGAGGCTTTACCAGGTCGTTGGCCCTGGATGGCCGCAATATTTCTTCATGGTTCTCGACGAACTGAATTCTGGTGTGGTGGTTCTCTCATCGGACCAAAACATATTCTTACGGCAGCTCATTGCACCCGAGATCAACGACAGCGACCGTGAGTAATGGGCATAAACGGTTATATTATTATCTTGGTATACTTAATCATTAAAACCATCAACAAAAATAATGATAACATGCAACCATAATAACAACAACAACAACAACAACAACAACAACAGATACAAGCGTGTATTTTATTATTATGATTAAACTGTCAATAATTGTATTCCAGTTTTGCAGCTCGGCAATTTACGGTACGTCTTGGTGACATTGACCTTGAACGAGACGACGAGCCGTCCTCGCCTGAGACTTACACAGTCAAGGCCGTACATGCACACAATAAATTCTCACGAGTTGGATTCTACAATGATATTGCTATTCTTGAGCTCACCAGGCCTGTGAGAAAATCTCCTTACGTCATACCAATTTGTCTGCCTCAGGGTCGGTACCAGAGTGAAACATTTCAGGGCGCAAGACCAACAGTCGTTGGCTGGGGCACCACATATTATGGTATTATTTTTATTATTATACTTTCATACATTCCTTAGCTTCTTTCTCTTTTCTTCCGCTGCTATATAATTCAATGTTTCTTTATTTCTTCTTCTTCTTCTTCTTAATTATATTATTATTATTATTATTATTGAATCTACGACAGAAAGTTACAATTTATTTAATGCAATAAAGTTGTTTGTTTGGTTATCACGTCCTTTCTCTTTATGATGAGCTTTCTTTCTCTTATTGCCAAGATAAAAATGTTATGGGCTTTAAATGCGACGATGAAATAAAATAATACAAGTAAAGAAACACTCACCAAAAACATTTGGTAATTTTCCGCAGGTGGAAAGGAGAGCACAGTTCAACGTCAGGCTGTTTTGCCAGTTTGGAGGAACGAGGACTGTAATGATGTTTACTTTCAACCAATAACTGGAACCTTCCTTTGTGCTGGATATAGTCAAGGAGGGAAAGATGCATGTCAGGGTGATTCTGGGGGACCATTGATGCTACGAGCTGAGGGTAAATGGATGCAAATTGGCATTGTTTCATTTGGTAATAAATGTGGCGAACCTGGTTATCCTGGTGTTTATACACGAGTCACTGAGTATATCGATTGGATTAAAGATAACGTTTAACTTAATTTTTATTTATTACCCATCTAATTGAAACATTCCAACAATTGTCGTTGGTGTAATTCAGGGATCCCCCACGGTTTTAATACGATAATACACATACCATATCTAGTATTATTTAAATTATTAACCGTGATTTGTACATATATATATTTTATTTTCAATACTGTGCTTTTATTTTTTTAATGTGCTTAATCATCAATATGATGGACATCATATGTTTGTTTTATAATTAAATGTAAGTTATTTAATGTACATTAAAGTAATTGTTATAAAGTAGAATTTGATAATTAAAAAAAAAAATACGACATTCAAAATTAACGTATTGATATATTTATTTACAATATATTTAAGTTTAATATTTAAATCTTGATTAGATATTAACTTTGGTATTGGCAATGATATTTGAGTATACATATAACTTTGGTTTTTATAAATTATTATAACAATAATAATTATTTATGTATTTCATGACTTATCTTTGGAGTTTTCTTTTAAATCCATTAATGCTTTTTTAACTAATGCTTCTAAATTTTCTGGTAAACCAAGAGGTAATGTTGGCGTTGAGGTAGAATCTCCTGCATGAGAAGGTGATGATTCATCACAAGAAGCATCACTATTTATTTGTAAGCTATTTTCTTCTTTGTCAATATGGTTTAATGAATCATCATTATAATCTAAATTATCTTCTATTTCTTCAAGATTATCAACATTCGCACTTACATATCCTTCTAATAATTTTGACGTAGGCGATGGATATGTACTATCAAGTTCACATATTCTTGCAGCTAAAATTCTAAAAAAAAAGATAAACCATTAATTTAAATGGAAAAAAAAAAAAAATTATTCTTAATAAATATATCCATTATTTTAAGTATCAATTTACTTGTTAGCTTTTTTTTGGTGAACCAATGCCAGCGTTTTATCATTTAAAGCCTCTAATAGTGCTGAACACAAACTACGTAAATCTGATAAGGCAGCAGCGGATTTTTGCGGAGGTATATTATTACCTTGTTGCAACAACTGTTCGACTGAAAATTATAAATGTTTAACGGTAAATATAAAATATTTATTTATTAAATGTATGATAAGGTAAACAATTTATATGAGAACCTTGTTTATGAGTCATGATTGTACCAACAGTCCCATTTCCACCTAATTTTATTGTACCTTTTACCCGTTTATTATCAAGCATTCCCTAAAAAATTTATTTTAAAGTAATATACTATGATTAAAAATAATTTATCATGTGTAATACATTGTTTTTATTAATATTTCAGAAATTACCTTGTACTTTAAAAGAGATTGTCGGGTAAGTTCTTTCTCTGCTAGCAATTGCTGCAGTCTATCTTGTAAATATCTATTTTCATTAATTAGGCTATCTACATCCAAAGGCTGTGAAGCTTTTAAAGCTTTAGATAATTCAAAGTTCAATCTATGTGATTTACATTTAAATGCATCTCGTTCTGTCTCCAATTCATGTTTTTCATCGAGTAAATTTTTCAAATCATTTTTCAGCTGTGTACACTGTAAAAATATTTTAACATTATTTACAAGCGATTAAATTTTTTTATGGTTAAAAATTTTCATCTTTTAATAATTTTAGTACTTTAACATTTAGTTTTTCAAGTTGCTCAATCATTTCTTCTTTTTCATGAATAGCAGGAGCTAATTGTGAGTTACTTGGCTCTAAATTTGAGTGATTACTACTTGTCCTTAAAACTTTGATATCTCCCTGGGCATCTCTCAATTTTTGTCGCAATGTTTCAACTTGTAATCTTAAACATTTGTTCTGTTCTCGTATTTCCGCCAAGAGATCCATCGTACGAAAGTCCTCATCCATGTCATATTTTCTATATAATTAAAATAAGTGCTCATTAGATAAATTATATAAACATGTATATATTTTTTTCTATCCATTTAATAATAAATTCACCTTAGATCCCTAGTGGTATTAACTTGTTTTTTAAAATGCCAAAACCGCTCCTGAATCTGCTCAGCCATTAACTTAAATTGATCTCGTTGGATTCGAGATTGATCCAATTCTTGAGTTAGCACCATAAGTGCCTCTGATTTTAATTGTAACTTTTTTCTTAACATAGCGACCTAAAAAAAGAATTTTATAAGTGTATTAAGATAATTATTCAAGGTAAACAAAAATCATAATCGTATTAAACCTACTTCGTCATAATTGATTTCATAGCTTTTGCCCGACTGGGAACTATCAATTGAATTTGCCATACTTATAACTATAAATTAATTTTTTTCTTTCATTTATTTATCTTGAATTATTAACTAATAAATATAAATATGTACACTTGGGGAAAGAATTAATTAATAACTCATCTGTCATTTGTCATTTTTCCTTGGTTATGTTTGTGTGATTTTTGTGATTCTGTGCACAAATGAATAAAGATGGCGTTAGTTGAAATTTCAAAAAGGTGAAACTGAAATAAATAAAAATAAAATTAAATATTTTTAAAGTTTCTAAAATCAGGTAATAATAAGAATATAAAAATAATTAATTAGTTATAATTACAAATAATTAAACTTATAACTGAATTTATAATTATAGGGTATACATATGAAAATAATCTAATTGGAGTTGTATTGACTAGCAAAATGACGTCATAAAATGAAATAGCGTCCTACCAATCGTGTTTGCCAACGGTATTTGATTTCGCTCAGGAACGAGTCGTGTTTGGTCTGTCCTCGTGAACAACGAACAACGGTTTTTTTCTCTCAACCGGCTATTTACTCATTTTATTTACCAATAAATTTTATAACTTTTTGTATTAAATTACAAAATATTCGTGATAATGACATCAACAGGAACATTCCAAGGAATGAGTGACGGCCGTAAATCCAGCAAGTAAGTTTCTTCCTTTATTTATTAAAATATTATATTTTTAATTCGACATGAGAAAGCCATTGAGTCTTACCTTCCTATTTTTGTTAAAATTCGCTTGTCATTTTTTTAAATTCTTTCAATATTTTGTATTTTGTATTTAATTAAATAATTCATCAAAAGTACTCCGAAATAACTCAAAAGGTTCATCATAATAAAAATAGTACTCCAAAATAACCTGAAAATGTTCGCAGAACTCAATCCATTCAGTTTAAAATTAATATTTATTGTTACATATAAGTTTTCTTGTAATTCAACTAACTGTAAAATAATTGTAGAAAATTTTTTATGATCCTTTGTTTAAGACAAAGCGAATCCTTAATATAGATAAGAAGTTCCGCTTCTCCAACTGCTTATTTTTCATGTCGTACATTCAGCTCAAACCGGATATAACCAGGTAGATCTTGTACGCCTTCTCTGTACCTATCAGGATTTCGCACTTTCATGGTCTTCTCAATGCTGTATTTAATTTTAAATTCTTTAAAAATAATATTTATTGAAACTCGTTAACGACTTTTTTTTTAACCGTCTGAAAACATACATTCTGTAATTTATGATAAATTCAATTGGTCATAAGTTATCATGTTGTTGTTTGGACGCAAAATAATTAATAAACTCATACAAGTAAATTTATATTTTTGTTAATTGTCTAGGTTATATTTAATTCTGCGAATTGAGAGGGCGTTGTCCCCAAAGTCACGGGGTAGATAACCCTTAATCAACATTTTTTTTTTTTCGTCTTTCTTTTACACTTTCTGTTTTTTTTTTTTTTTTTTTCGCAACAAATTTTATTTTATTGTATCACAGACAATGACTTTCCGGTTTATTATCAATGTTTTTTTTTTTTTCTAAAATGGAATTTCCGTTTAAAAAAAAAAAAAAAAAACATTTTTAGTATACAATTCTATCTACGATTATTTCATGATCAAATGAATGATATGTACGGGCATAAAATCATGAATGAACTAAACTTAAATCTGAATGATTCACTAAGTATACTCGATGATACACTCGTACTCATTTATATTGACTGATAATTCTCATTTATTCTTTATAATCACAACGCAGTAGAATAATTTCTTTGTTATCTTTAGTATTTAATTTTATCATAAGAGAATATTATCATAAATTTACGTAAAAACCAAACTAGTAATCTACTATCTGAACAGGTGCATTTAAAAAACAAAAAAATAAAAAAAAGAAAGCATAAAAACTGCGAATATTTTATTTGTGTGACGATGAGTCACTGGGGACTTTGTCCACGCCCGTTGCAGCTGTTCTGATTGCTCAGTAATAATCGGTTTTAACTCAATTCTTGGTAATCTCCCGTAGTTACTTTGTTCGAATAAATTTAGCAGCATTAGTTGAAAAAAATCTATGGGCTATCAACAATTTTATAGAAATTAAATAAATCATTACAGCATAGAATTTTATAAAAAGTGAAATACCATCTGTTGATTTTTAATATTTCTTCATTGCAAACGATTTTTCCTTTTTAGTTAACTACCTGTACGTGACTCAATCAACTTAACATTCCTTTTAATTAAAATAATAAAATAATACTATGAGGTGAATGAACCTGCATAGTGATAACTATTTTGGGCAATGCACTTGGCCTTCCGCCATTCTATCCGCTTAAAATTTAACCTTCACGGTGAATAATAATAAGTATTATTTATAATGTACTTATAGTAGTCTAATATATATACTTATAATAATGTGTAATATAAGGGATAACATGAGTAGTAGATGGTCAAGTCAGGGAAACAAAAACGTTTCAGTTGGACGTTATTATTATATATGAAAGGATAAGTTAGCCATGGAGGGTGACAGTCATCCCCATTATATTCCCTGATGTTTTTACGTGTTTTCACGGTAGCGGGCTACAAATCAATAGAGTTGTCGCGACCGTGGTCGCGACAGACTGTCGTGTTTTACAAATAAGTGCCGACAGACCAGTCATATCATACCTTGTATACCTTATACCTTATACTTATACTACCTCAGGTTTGTAATGTACATAGTAAATTGAAAACTGTATTATCATGTTATGTTGGATTGCTTTTACTCTTGAAGTTTGTTGGATTCTCATTGTAATTCGCGTGAAAACCGACAGATTGCGCGAGGCGTTTCAAATCAACTACAACACACTTTTATAAATTCATTCTCTATGTCAGATACTGAGTAGCTGAGTATTGTTAAAAAATGGGAGACAATAAACCCCTGAAGTTAAATTTCCAATTGAGTATTTCTAAAAAATCATACAAAGACTACTTTTTGTAAAACACTGAATCATTCTACAAATAGAAGCAATATATTTAACTATTCATGCAAAAAATTGGAAACATTTTTAAATGTAAAATTGAATTATAATTAATTACGTAAAATATTTCATTTCTATTTATTGATTTTTATTAGACCTCACAAAGAAACAAAAATCAGATAACTAAAATTTTTCTTTTAACTATAAATATTTCTTAGTTTTTATACGTTCACTTTATAGTTTGTTAATAGATATCGAATATTTATTTACATTTACTTAGAGTTAATTTACGAGTATTTCAATTATAGATAAAATATTTCGAACAACTTCGTATATACATCATAAACATAAGTTATTACTTATTACTGACACGTTATTTATCTATATTGATTTGCATGAATGGTTTTTAGTTCAGTTATACATGAAATTATATTGCTCTACTGTATCTATATTAGTTTGTAAACAGGCTTGAATAAAAATTTGAGTATACTATATAATAGATAGATCCATCACTTTTTTTCACAATAAAAATAAAGCATTTAGTGGATTGAGTAAACCTGATTTCCAGTATTAGTTAGTATTCTTATCACCATTTATTGACTATTAAGCTGTAGAAAATAAATTATATATTCCCATGAAGTGTGAAATTTTAAAATAACTATTTGTTGATTTTTCTATTTTTTCATTTACATTAATAATTTACTCTTGTTTAAAAGTTTTATTTGTATTAAATTAATTGATAGTAAATAACTAACTATTTTCTATTAACAATAAAACAGCTCTATCTAAAATAGAAAACCTCTACTTTGATAGTATTAAAAAAAAAATAGATTTTTTGATTAAGAAAAAATTAGATTTTATTTTTTTTATTCATACAATCTTAAACTTTTTCTAATGAAAAAGGCTATTAGATTTCAAGCATAAAAATTGAAAAAAAAAAAAAAAAAAAATTATGAACAGTAAAAATTGTAAGAATTGAAGCTGGTCGGTTTTATTATTATTTTTACTATCATCATTATCATATTAAATCATGAACTTTTTGTTATTCATAACCTTTTATTGTCTTATTTGTACATGAACATTTTCTTTACCGCAGCTCGCAGATATAACAATTCCACGAAGATACTTTAATACTTGACTTTTTACTTCATTTCCTCACTTCTGAACATTTTTAGAGTTTCGAATTCCCAAGTACAAGTAACTTATACCATGCGATTATGTTGCATTTCATCCAACAACACCTTTTGCAACAATACAAAAATAAAGAGAAATCTGACCTTCGTAAAGTAACTACAATAATGTTAATAATTATAATTTTTAAAGTTATTTATTACAAAAAAAATCAAACTGCCAGGTTTAGTCTATATAAAAATAACTATTTTATTTTTTTCAATTGCGATTCCGTGTAGTAGAGTATTCACTATAATTTTCCTTCTTAGTTTAATATCAATATTTTCAATACGACAAAATTTTTTTATTCGACCTAATGAACTGTCTTTGACAAGCACTTTTGCCCTCCTAACACCATATTGTTTAATTGTTCACAAATTCTTTCATGTACTATTTTCAAGTTACTGTTATTACTGTACTGCACGAATATAATCAAAATTAGTCATCACGTAATTTATTGTACAATTTCCCCAAACTTTATTTTAAGGATAGATACTTCCGTATTCTAATACGGAAGTGAGTCAAAAAAAAATATTAGATAAATTTAGCCGCAAACAAATCTTTTTTTTATATCTTCAATTATTCACTTTTATCTACGAATAACATTACAGGCAGTATGAAAAGAATATTATGAACATTTCCGATACTTAACATTTGCGGTTATAGTCTTGAAATTATCCTATTATCTATTAACTTGACTTACATTGTCTTCAATAAATTGATTGTTTCATACTTATGAATCAGAATATAAATGAGAAATCATGTAGAAATCATACATGCATTCGAATATATAAGTAAATGATAAATATAATAACAAGAGACTGATTGACATGTGATAAAAGTGACTATCGATTGTCATTTTATAAATTCAAGTCATCAAATGTATCGACGTGGTTATCTTGTTATTCATCGTATCGGCAAGTAATGTACAAGAAACATTACTATACCATATTTAAGTTTACATTGGTAAGGCTATTGCCTCCACTCGGTAAAGGTCTGGTTCCATGACAAA